ACCAAAATCACTATTTTTAAAAAGGTGCTCAATACAAAGTAGAGCGAATAATATTTATTTTAAATTTTAACATAAGTATGTTACAAAATCACTACAAAAATATCCATTTTGTTTCAACACTTCGGGTGTCTTGTCAAATGATGCTGTTGATTGCAAAATAAAGAGAAGTGTTGAAACAAAATGGCTATTTTTGTAGTGCTGTTATGGCATGCTTTTGTTATAATTTTTAAATAAATATTATATGTATATATATATATATATATATATATATATATGCAAGTTTCATTAAAAACGACTGGCAAGGTACTGCGGTTAAATTTGAATGAATTTTTTATGTATGTATCTAGAGTTATAGGAATGTTTTATTTTCCAAATACGGTCATCACATTCTGGCCGTGTTCATAGTTGATGCTATTGAGTAGTATTAACTCTAGAGATACATAAATAAATATATCCATACAATCAGTTAAAAGTAAGAATGAAATCCTCCTTGACAAATGGTTAAAAGTATTGCCGAACACGTTAGACCTACAGTGAATTCTGTCAATTTATACATAATTTATGTTCAGAAAATTACAGTAACTTGTCAATCGTATAAAAGAAGGATTGATTCCTAAATACACAATGTGTGTGTGTGTGTGTGTGTGTGTAACTTTAAAAATCAGGAGGTCAGTTAAAATACTCGACCTTGTTTTCGACCTGACTGTCTTTTTGGGCGATATTTTAAAAAATGACCACCTTAACGCTTTTATTAAAAAAATAAATAAATAAATAAAATAAAACAAACAACGCTACATAATTATTTTTAAAAATAAATTAACAGGCACATAACGATCGAAAAACATGACATTAAATGTAATAGAAAGGAAGGGACTATGGAGAAGAAAGAAGAAGAAACAAAGAAAAGAAAAGAAAAGAAAAGAAAAGAAAAGGAGCGGGAATGCAATGCATTGTAAATGTACACAAGAAAGAAGAAGAAAAGCAAATATGTAACTTAAATGTAAAGGAGGAAAGGGAGGCGAAAGTATCTTAAGAATATATATATGTGACAAATATATATATATACATATATATATATGAAAAATTGGAAAAGTTTTTGTACCCATTTGTCATACAACTTTCTTTCAAAATGTCTTTGGTATAAATTATTTATGCATTTGTTTTTGTTTTTTACGGCTTATAAACTCCCGCACATGAACGCGCATTTATAATTCAGTGTAGAGGCAATATCAGAGAAAATTTTATCTATTATCACACACACACACACACACACGCACACACACACATATATATATATACAGTATATATATTTAATCAAAGAGAAATCTTTCTCTCTATTTATCTATATATATATATATATGTATACACACACGCACATATATATATAACTTCTAAATCACTAAGTGATAAAATTTATTCGATTAATAAATAATTAATAAAATTATTAATAAATAATAATAATAAAAATGCATTACTTTTTTACTTTTTGTTTATATTGTATCCCCGGCGTATTTTTCTTTAATAAGATTTCTAGTATATGCAGAACAGTAGACATAATGCACAATGTTTAATAAACAAAAATGAGTCGTCTATGTCAAATATGAAGTATCCACCGTAGTAGCAGTCGAAGGTAATATATATATATATATATATATATATATATATATATATATATATATATATATATATATATATATATATATATATATATATATATCTATATGTGTGTCTTTACCGAATCTATCTATCTCAGCTTGTTTATTTCTATCTATCTATCTATCTATCTATCTATCTATCTATCTATCTATCTATCTATCTGTTAGCTTTTTAAATTCAATTAAATTTATATATATATATATATATATATATATATATATATATATATATATATGAAATCTAGAACATTCAGGTTGGTAGCTGAAATAAATATATATTGTTTAATATATTGATATATTGTTTGATAAATAAATGAAAACAGACCATCTACTCAAAAATGAGTACGTATTAAACATAACGTTTAAACAAATTAAAATTATGTCAGATTTGATTTCATATATATATATATATATATATATATATATATATATATACACCTTGTCAGCCATTTGCTTAGATCCCTTCAATGCAAGTGTCGCGTTTTCTCTAATTCTATCGAACTTTAGATATATATAAGGATTGCTAGATAGATCGATAGACGGATCGATGGGTAAGTATAAACCGGATTATATAGATACCGAGAGTGATGTGTAATTTCAGGAATTGTTACGTATATAAAATGAAGTGCTTATCTAATATTCAAGTAAACAAACTGATATTCCACTAGCTTTCTGTCTCGTTCTGGAAAGCCTGTGGATCGATTCCTATCATACGTTAGGCGGGAAAATATCTGATGGGACGTTGTTAAACATCGGGTGAATTTTATAAAATCCCTGAAGTCATTCCCAAACCAAATTTACACTTGAGGCCAGGTTACATCTTTTAAATTTGTGAGTAAAGCATA